GGGGGGGGGGGGAGGGGGAGGGTGTTCATGTGCTATAATATCACTACATTCACACTAGTATTTCTTATGTTTAATTCAAGAAACTTTTTTAGTAGAATTCCACCAAGATTCAGATTAATACTTGCTGAAAAATTATGTTGATGAGCATGACCTGTGAAGAAAAACAACTGGACCTGTACCCATTCTCACTTCTCTTCTACAGAAATCAAGAACGAAGGTTCCCTATGTCCTCCTTTAATATCAGAAAGTCAGGTATGTGAGAAACATGCTAGCTCTACACAGGAAAGGGGCCTCCAAGCTCATGTTTCTAAGTGTCTATAGACTAGAAGGACAACAAGGTCCACCTCTACTGCAGGTGGACAGCCATAAAAAGAAAGTATCAGCTTTATCTTGGTTAGGTATGCAAAGATTATAACTGAAAATGTCATTTTTAGCAGTCAACTTGGCATATTCTATCACTGCTACTGAACTGTCACCAAACTCAAAGAATTTTCAGAGAGGTACTTCTTGGATTAGTACTGCATTCTAACCAAGTCTTAACATACAAGAGTAAGTCCCAAAAAGAACCTTAACTAAAAACTTGCTAGCAAAAGATGCATGTATCTAGAGAGAATGGGTTGCTTTATATTCAGATTATTCCTTAATGATCTGACACAATATCCTGATTTTTTAATCTTGTAAACTAGCTATCAATTATAGTGAATATGCATTAATGCTTCATTTCTATGGAAGAATTCTAAAAAGATGTCAGACTTAGTGTGTCTGATATAAATCAGATTACAATTCTAGGTTAATTGAAAATGTTATTTTAGTGTAGTGACATACAGATACATAAACCAAAGGTTACGAGGCATAAATGAATGAATATGCAAATAAACTTTCCTCTCAGGATGCATCAAAATATAATAGAGACCTACCAAAAATCACAAATTCACAGATTTTGTCTGTTGTGCAGCCCTGCCTCCCTCCACCAATCAGTGGTGAGAGATGGGGCTGCATGGCGGACAGTGCTCAAGCAATCAGCAGGAGGCAGCGCTGTACAATGGATAGCCTTCACAGCCAATCAGCAGCAAAGAGTGGGGGCCACTGGGGCCCCTCAGCCAAAGGTGTTGGGGGCCCCAGCCACAGTAAGCCCTTGAAAATGGCAGCCAGCTCCATGATCTGCCCATGAAATGAGCTGCTGAGTTGGGTAGAACCCTAAGTACAATGGCTTTTGGCAAGAAAAAACAAAAAGTCAATTGACAAAAAAGCCATCAACTGAAACCTGAAAATAGTGCCTTTGATTTGAACAGTTGGATGTCATTTTCTTGGATATGGATATCGTTTTCTTGGATTTTAGCAAGGCCTTTGATACAGTATCTCATCCCATTCTCATAAATAAATTAAGAGGCTGTGACAGATTTTTACACCTTCCAGTGAGTGGCAAATTTGCTTAGTGGTCGCACCCTGAGAATGGTAGTAGACAGGTCGGTTTTGACCTGGAAGGATGTGGGTAGTGAGGTCCCACAGGGTTCGGTCCTTGGACCTGTACTCTTCAATATCTTCATCAGTGACTTGGATGAGGGTGTGAAGTGCACTCTAAGCAAGTTTGTGGACAATACTAAATTGTGGGGTGAAGTGCACACTCCAGAGGTTAGGGAACAATTGCAGGCAGATGTGGATAGGTTAGAAACATGGGCAGTACACAATCAGATGCAGTACAACAAGGACAAGTGCAGAGGGCTGCACCTAGGGCACAAAAATATCCAGCACACCTACTGGCTGGGAAGTGACCCTCTCAGCAGCACAGAAGCAGAAAGGGGTCTCGGAGTCATAGTGGACTCCCAAGATGAACATGAGTCATCAGTGTGATGAAATCATCAGCAAAGCAAACCGCACTTTATCATGCATCAGCGAAAGTGATTGGTGGAACCAAGTAGGGAGCAGGCCTGAGCCACACACTGCCACCCCTCCCTCCCCCCAAGTCCAGGACCAGACCAGGAATCAGCAATGCTGATAGCTCACCACTGGGTGAGGCAGAATCACTCTTTTTTCCACCATAAACTGCTTGAACAACTGTACAATTAACTTTTGTGTCAGGAAAAGGGAGCATTTTTAGACAAATCTAATGCTTGTCCATTGACTTAGAGGAGAAAAAGTACGAGACATCAGATAAAAGAAAGTAGAAAAAAAATCCAGAAGCATCATGGGCAGATATCATTGGAAAGAAATGATTCACAACTCCTCCCTTACATAAAGATATGATGTTAATACAGATTTAATTGCCAAAATTGCATGTCAGATCTTTAAAAGACACAGAGAAGGAAAGGACGGGGGCAGGGGATGGAATCTTCTTTAGACAACAGCATACAGTAAAATCTTTCCTTGGGATAGCAAAATACATCAAGTAAGATTGGATATATGCACAAGTAAACCTTGATGGAACAATATTGTCTTTACAATGCAAAAGTTCCCACCGCTATAATGATAATTTTGCCAGGATTAGCAGTGGGGAAGCACTATGGAACAGGTATCTACTATGCACATCTCAAAAGAACACTCAGAATATAGTTTTTGCATCTGATAACATAAAATGGAATTGAATACTAACAGCAATTTTGCTGGTCTTCTTCTGGCTTCTAACATACTTGTAGCATACTATTTTGTGCCCTTTTACATGCCTTGCCAGTTGCATCTCAAATCAAATACCATCACACAAATCAAATATTTATTAGCACAAGTGTTAAAATATGCATTTCAAATTGTAATGCAATAACAGGAATAGAACCTGTTTATGTCCCCACATAAAGCTCTGCTCAGTTTTACACAAACGATATGGTGGATTCTGAGGCAGGCAGCTACAAACAATGGCGTACTTTATATCGGTCCCCCTGGAATATTTGTCTGAACTTGTGGCAGACATATGTTTGAACTGACTCCCCCCCTTACTATAAAACAAAACGGGGGAGACAGCTGGCAAGGGATTTTCTAGGATAGCTTTGAGACTGAAACTTAAATAGCCTGATTCTGGACACTCTGCAGGACTACTGAAAAAGAAACAGGCAACAGCAGGTTGAAAAGGTTTGCTGGAAAGAACTGAAGTCATCTTGGGCAGAAGCAGGGTGGAAGAAAATTTGTTAGCTAGATGGTGCTAAGGGTAAGCTTATTAGCACAGAGCAGACTAACTGGCACTGTCAATCAGCAGTGCTAATTAACCCACCAGAAACATCAAGTGGCCATGGCTACACTGCTTCCTGTTTAAGAGGCAACCCACCTAAAACAACAGATTGCTTCTGGGCACCACCATGGCAGTAAGTTTCCCCATCACAGACACGGCTTTAACCAGGGGCAGGAAATTATTACGGGCGGAGGGCCACTTACCCAGTTTTGGCAGGCTATCGAGGGCCACATGGGTAGCCCCGTCCCTTCACAGGTGCCCCGCCCCCTGGTCACCATCTTGGGACCAATGTCCCAGGGCCAGCACTAGTGGGGCCCAAAGCGGGGCACAGACTGGCAGGGGTCTGTGGAGCTGGGCTGGGCTACACCAGCAGG